CCCTCCCTCCCATCCATCTTGGCAGAGTTTCTGTGTAGCCCTGGCTGTCCTCAAACTCACAGAGATCCACCTGCTTCTGTCTCGGCTTAAAGCCTGTATCACCACATCTGACTCCAGATTTTATTTTTAAGAAATCAAATTAGACAAATGAAGCAAACAAAAACTCCAGATATCTGGACTTTTAAGCTAGAAACACATTTCTAGACTGGTAGCTTATTTTACTACTATTATTTTTGTGTGTGTGCTTGATTGTCTGTCTGTATAAGCATCACATTTGAGCAGTGCCACTGGATCTCATGGTACTGATTCTGGATTTCCTAAAGAAGCAGCCAGTGCTTATAACTGCTGAGCATTGCTCCAGCTTCTAGAGTGATAACTTTGATTTAGTATGTGTAAAAAAAATACTATAAGGGAGTTGGGTCTGGTGGTGCATGCCTTTAATCATAGTACTTGGAAGGCAGAGGCAGGCTCATCTGACTGAGGGTAGCATGGTTTACACCAAGTTCCAGGACAGTCTGGATCTAGAGAGATCCTGTATCAAAACAAAACCTTTAAAGATGTACTGAATATGAGATTACACTAAAAGTGAGATAATTTTTCATGTCTTTAGAAAGATCTATAAAAAATAAAGTTTACTTTGTTTTTTAAGTTTTTCTTTGCTGAACTGATATTTATGAAGCACTTTCGTACCCAGTGTTCCAGGTGATGAAAACACATGGTGATGGACCAGCCTCTGACCTGAGGAGTTAACTAATATTCCAGAGAGTGGGAAGTGGCTCAAGGAAAGACAGTAACAGAAAAGTAGGATGGCCCATGAAGTGATCATGCATGTGTACATATACATATACACCTCCAAGGTGACAGAGATAGACAAGATCAAGAATTGCCATATGTGTCCTATTCTATCAAAGGCAAACAGTGAGTACTTTACTTACTTTTAGGCACTTAGTGCTAAATTCAAAATGTGATAACATACAAATATATAAAACATGGCAATCTATGAATACAAAGACTTAGCAAAACACAAATTTCCATGATTGGGGACTAGTTAAAAGAATTTTATCATATCTTTAAACAATGTTGGTAGAACATTACATCCAGATACATAAATATTTAAGGACTTTGTTAAATAAAATGGTGAGTCGAAGTGTAACATTTCATTTGGATTGAGGGGATCGGAACACACAGTTTACATTCAATGAAATTTGTGAGAAGATCTAAATAAATTATTCACTGCAAAATCTGAGGGATGGAGACATTTGTATTTAACCATTCTCTATAAAGTCTTGCTTTAAAAGGTGTATAATATCTACAATTAAAAAAACACTAAAGACTTTGAATGCAGAAAGAATTAAGTTTGCTACATCAAATAGGTAGGTAGGTAGGTAGGTAGATAGACAGACAGACAGACAGATAGATATATAGATAGATAGATAGACAGATAGGGTTTCTGCTACTAAATGAAAAAGCAAGCAAAAGAGCTCTGTATGTAAACTTAGGGTGGTGGTGGTGGTGAATCAGAATCCAATTTCATTTAGCCACACTGAATTTTTTCCTTTTTCTTTCTTTTTTTTCCAGATGGGTAGCCCAGGCTGGGCTCAAACTTGCCATGTAGTCAAGGTTGATCTTGAATTTCAGATCCACCAAATAACTCCTGGGATTACAAGCCTGTGCCACCATGACAGCCATGAAAGCTTCAGGTCTTTTATATGTTAAGCAAGCACTCTAACAACTGAGCTACATTCCTAGTTTCATACTCTGAATTCTTTAAGCTTCAATTTATGCTAGATTAAAAAAATATACTTCCCAAGCATTCCATAACACACACACACACTATAAGAAAAAGAAAATTAAAAAAACTTTTCACAAGTTGTAAAATGGCATGTATATACTGACTCTGTTTGAAAAGAAAAAACATATGTAGTCAAGAATAATAACTAAAAGGCTTCACACTGGTGAGTACCACCTCACAAGTGGAATTCTGCTCCCTATGCCACTGAATCCTCTATCATGTATTTGTTTTGAAAATAACAAACTACACACAAGAGACAAAAGAATGCCAAGATACTTACAGTAAAAACCAACAGCTGTAGGCAGCAAAAATAAAGCAAAATTATAAAAAGTCAGCAATCAAATCAAAGTATTCAATAATTCTACAGCTTTGCCTGCATTGCAACTTTGATCTGATAAGAACTTAACATATGCAGACTCAACATAGCTGAGCTCTACTGACAAACACCAGTCAATGCTGGCGAATGACTGAAGGTCACTGCAACCAAAGGCTTATGCACAAAGAAAATTCTAGTACTACTATTAAATGTAAGAAGCTGAATTTGGAACTGGTAATAAATTTTTTCCAAAAAAGCCTGATAACATATTTGATGCACCTTTCACAAAGCTGTACATCTGGGGGGGTCTTAAAATGTCTCTGACAGGTGTGTCTAGCTTCATCACTAGCATGTGTACACACTGCAGTCTCAGCCACATGAAACTTTCTCCAAGTAAATTTAAAAAGCATCTCTGAGTCCTCCTGAGATATTCTCAACGACAGAACTGTGAAGCCAATCTGAGAGCAATCTGAGAAGTACCTGCTCCTCAGGGCTGACTCAGTTCCACAGTAGAACTGTAAATTTTAACCATTTCAACCTCTTTTTTCTGTTACCCTGTATCTTTATCTTCTTTTCACCATTTCTCTTCTTTCACTGAAGTCCTTCTTTATTCCCTCAGCATTACTTTCTAATTATTTACTCATTATTTTTGTCTGTATGCATGCATGGGAAAGTCAGAAGATGGCACATAGGAGTCAGCTTGTTCCTGCCACATGGGGTCCAGGGAGCAAACTGTGACTGTCGGATGTGGTGGCAAGTGCTTTCTTTAACTTGGGTCTTCATCCCCAGCATCTCTAGATGCTTAGGATGTCAATATAGCCATTAAAAAAAAAAAATCAATAAACCCATAAAACCGTATGCCCTTTCTAATAATTGCCTTAATAAAAAGCCTGCATATTTAATTTTGTGCATCTTCTATGGAGTGTCAGAAATTTACCACTGTAGACCACATACATACAAAGAGAAACAGATTTTGATTCTACAACATGATAAACATGGAAAGTCACGAAAACATGCTCTTTCAGCAGAGGAGTCTGGGCTTCAGCACTTGAGAAGCAAGAAACAGCTCACTGGATATAAGAAGAGAATGAATCTACAGGTGGCAAAGCACATGGGGGTGGAGTCTTAAAGCACATGCCACTTTCAAGAAACAGTGAAGCCACAGGTTGTCAGGACAGGCAGCTAGAGAGATAAAAAAGATTTAGCCCTGAAACACCTCAACCTGGTACAGATGTTTCTTCCATTCACAGAAGTGAGCCCAACCTGCTGCTCTCCTGCCTCTGTGACACCTTAGTGCTTACTCTTTCTGAAGCAAATATTTCATTTTATGTACTGTCAACTAGTTTTGCATTTATTTATGATTTCTGTCTGATGACAAAACTTCACTAATACAGCAACTGCTAGAACTTAAGCAAAGTTATGATCCCCTCAAATGTTTGTTCTACATTTGGCAGCCCTATAGAAAGAAAGATGGATGGCATCAGCTTGCTGAGTGTCATGGCTCTGGCCTCAGGTGGGAAAGGAAGAGAACAATGTATACAACTACTTTCACCTGTCTGTGTTTTTGTTAAAACTTGGAGTTTTTAGGTTGTTATAAAAAAATCACAAGAAATAATGTATAGTACAATCTTCAGCAAATGTTTTCTGTTGTGTTAAGGGTTTCTATATAAGTTGCTATAATAAAAGAGAAACTTTACTAACACACCTGTGTTTTCTTTCTGGCACTGAAATGTATTTGAATGACCCCCCTCCCCTTCCTCTGTGCATTAGAACTGAAAACTTAAGTTGAATCAGAAACACTCTGAGGGATCATTTTCCCCATCTCTACTTTGGATTTGATTACACACTCAGTTTTTAATTTTGTCTTTTCTTGAAAAATATTTCACATCTTTAAGTGATGGGTATATAATCAGTTCTTTATAATGAAATTTTAGATTATACAAGTTCTGTGACATTTTATGTCTCTGGGCACCAAGACATGTAGAAAGCAACTTGATCTTCCATCTTGAAAATCATTAGCAATGAAAACAATGCTATACTCTGGTAACAGTTCTTGACTAACCCCCAAACCAACAAAACTAACAAACAAACAAACAAACAAAAATAATTTTAGCTTCATATGTTGAGAGAAAAAAAATCAGTGATTCTAAGAAAATTATTAAGACATTTTAATATTTAGAGATATGAAGACAATCTTCATTAATTCTCTTTCACAGTCTGTTTTCATTCCATCACTCAGCAATTCCTGAAAAATATCACTGAGATTCATTTATTATGAAGTTTCAATTTTGAAGGAAGTAACCACTCCTACTTAGGTTAAAAAAAAAAAAAGACAATTTTCCCACTAGCTTTTTGCATGAAGTAAAAAAACCAGAAGTGAAAACTGCAGGTTAACCCAGTATTTGTTACACAAGGCTCAAGTGATTGAGCCTTATCAAGTTACATGGAAATATTACCTGTAGGATTGGAAAAGTCCAACATGCTAGTGGTAGGCTGTAAGAGATCTGGGCTGCTGGATGAGAGTGTTCCAGGAATTGGCATTATAGCCAGGCTGTGCCTACAGTGCCTGGTTCCCACAATACTGTCATCTTGTGACTGACTCAGGCCTCCATCACTTCAAAAGAAAGGCACATATTACTTTCAAGTATTAGAAGGTACTTACATAGCAAGCAATTTGACATCCTATGTACAAAAGCTTAACAATAACAAAATCAATTCAGTGTGATGACTTAACCAGTTAGATTAAAACATCTCAGCAAACAAAAAGGGTACTTATAATGAAGAAACAGCAATGAAATGTTTTTGAAATTTACATTAAAATGAAATATAAAACAGAACAAATTCTACTATATCACAAATAATAAATTTGCTTCTGGTTTTGGTACAGAAAAACTGAATATTTAGGGACTGCTTAAAATTTGCTAGTCTCAAATTTCAAATATATTTACTGAGCTATACATGGCCACACTACAGGAAGTGTCCCCTCCAAACACATGATAATCACAAGACAGTTTAGGTCAGTAACAGTTAGTTCTCTTTTAAGGTTTCAAAACCACATATTAACTAAAATGCCATTATCTAGGACAAGATACTCTTCCTTTAAAACATTGAGAACTGTCACAAAGGTCATTCTAAAGCCACTGTAAGGAAAAATATAAACACTTTCAGTCAAACTTTGTGTATTTTCCAAATATTAGCTTAATTATAAAGTAAAACTGTTGTATAAAATTTAAGATCACAGTGGAAAAATTTCCATCGTCACCAATGACCAAAATAAGAGTTCTTTCCCTAAACTGACTAGTCTTGAAATGTTTCCCTTAGTATCTATTCCCATCTAAATTTTACTCAGCACAGCCTTCTGTTTTGTTTTTGTTACATAGAGGCATCACAGAACACTTACCTATTATCATGGAAAAGATTAAACTATGACCTAAAAGATGAGTGAGATGGAATACATTTAAAATATATTAAAGCAAAATATGGGCTATAGGCAGACTATGAAATGAAGCAAGATGGGAGAGTAATGGACTGTTAATAGCAAGATCAGAAGGACGGCCAGGACAAGAGAGGGCTGCATAGTCAGGAAGGCATGAAGGTGTGGCATGGAAGGAAGTCATTGTGATGTCAGACAGACTACTTATAAGGTTGTCTTGGGTGAATTCGTTCTCTAGCTGGCCACTGGCTGAAGGACTGAGTGAGCTCAACTAGTTGAAAAATAGTATTTTAGTCTTTATGAAGAGAGTCAAGTTCTTTTATCAAATGAACAATCCAAACCCACAGAAGTGGATCATTTACTTTAACTTGACACTGAGAAGGAGAAGCACAACAATGCAACTGATACAAACAATTGCATTTATCTTCAAGGAGAAGCATCAATCTACTCCTATAAAAAGGAAGGCTTTATTTGGTGAGTAATCCCTGCTTACCCTAAACTAGCTCTTTACAAGTTAGTTGTTGCTGTCACAAACATTTTAAGATTAGCTAAGAGGCGAAAAGAAATGCTGCTGAGTACTTAATCACAAAAGTGTAAAAATCTATTTTTGAACAATAAGTCTTTCTCTAGTTGATTCCTGAAAACACACCAATTTTTTGATTCATAAGGTCAGGTAACCAAATCCAAGGGGAAAAAAATCTTTAAAGATATGACCTACTCTTAACTAACAAAACTAAACTAAAATTGGAATTGTTCTTTGAGACAGGGTCTTATATGAGAATGACCTTGAATGTCTGATCCTCCTGCCTCCACCTCCAAAGTGCTGGTATTCTATGGTGCCTGGGATCAAGGACATAGCCTTTCAGATGCTGGGTAAACACTCTGCCTATTAAGCCATGTCCCTAGCCCTAGGTCAGATTTTTTTCTTAAAAGCAATTCACTGTAGAGGCAAAGTCCACAGAATGTTAAAGGTTCTTAATATTTACTATCACTTAATATGCCACTTAACATTTACTCTGCTTTTTAATAATCAACACACACAACACTACGCATACATACTCATATTAAGTAGGTTAAAATTCATGGTAATTAGGGTGTGAGCATGTAGACATGAAAATTCTGTCATGTACGATTCAAGCTATGACAGGAATGAAGTAATTAATTTGCAAAAAAATCCATGCTTAAAGTTGAACTGATAAAGCCTATTTGAAAATAATTATGTTATTTAGTACCAAAACTGTTTCCTGAGAGGTGATGCAGTAATAGAAATAAGATATTTAAAAAAAAATTCCTTAAAAATTAGTTCCCTAACATTTAATATGTTTGAAAAAAAGTAATCAGTTTCATTATGAAACCAAAGAGGCCACAAAATAACTCCAACATTAAAAGCAGATAAAAAATATACTGATATTTGGAGAGAAAAATAGTTCTCGATGCAAAGAACAAAGCAGTTATTTTCAGCAAGATACAGTGATGTTACTTGGGCAACTGTGAGTAAAGAAAGAATTAAAGCTGAGTGATTTTTTTTTTAAAAAAAAAAAAGGATATTTGATTTTCTGAACTGTGAAATAGCCTCAGGTTAATGAAAACCATAATTTTATGTCATAATTTACAGATACATCCAGATCAATCACTCATCAATAACTTATTTTCATTTAAATTATTTTTTAAAGATTTATTTTATGTATGTATATGAGTGCTCTATTTGCATGTACACCTGCATACCAGAAGAGGGCACCAGACCTTATTACATATGGTTGTGAGCCTCCATGTGGTTGCTAGGAATTAAACTCAGGATCTCTGGAAGAGTAGTCAGTACTCTTAACTACTGAGCTATTTCTCCAGCCCTCATTTTAATTTTTAAGAACAATTTTCCACTTTAAAAGTACATAATTGTTTGGGATTTAAGAATTGTCTACTTTTATCTAAAGTAGATTCTTCTTTTGTTAAAAAAACATTCTTTTCTTCCTGCTCCCACAGATATTGTAATAGCTGCCCTGTTCTTAAGAGGATATACGGGAGAAGTAGAATCTGTTTTCCATGCTTCAGCTAAGGAGTTTTGGCACATAGGAGGCATTCATAAATTATATAATTAAAATTAATTAATATATATATATATTTTTTTCAGACAGGGTTTCTGTGTGTAGCCATGGCTATCCTGGACTCACTCTGTAGACCAGGCTGGCCTCAAACTCAGAGACCTGCCTGCCTCTTCCCCCCGAATGCTGGGATTAAAGGTGTGTGTGTACCACTACCACCTGGCAAAATTAGTTTTTAATTTTAATTAAAATAATTGAAATATTTTATAGTAGGAAAGTTGGAAGATACATGGGGAAAAAAGTGAAAAATTGTTTGTGCTTTATTTAAAAAAAAAAAGTAATCCCAAACAGACATCTGGACATTTGTCCTTCTTGTTAATTTTCATGTCTAACATACCATTTAGCTAACCAATCTTTTATACTTGGACTTGTGGGTATTTCTAGCTTTTTTGTGAGGCTGAAGCAGGAGGATCACTTGACCACAGGAGTTTGAGGACAGACCAGGCAACACAGCAGGACATCATCAACATCGTCCTCATGATCACCATCATCACGAGATCTATAGAAAGGGTGTTGTATCCCTGGATAAACATCTATACTGATCATCTGAACCCAAAGTCTCTGCCTATTATCTACTGATATCACAGTATTGTTTTTCCCTTATAAATGATTTTCAGGATTTGTCAGAAAGGGGAAATCTCTGTAGTCGTTTGAACGAGTATGTTCCCTATAAACTCAAATATTTGAACACTTATTTCCCAGTTGGTGGTGCTATCTAGGGAAGCTTAGATAGTGTAGCTTTGCTAGAAAAAGTACTTTACTGAGAGAAGACTTTGGGTGTTTACAGTCTCATTTCATTTCCTGTTTACAAAATGAAAAAAAAAAAAAGAAATGATAAAAGAACAAAAATCATTTACTGGATGTGGGTGATGCATACCTGTACTTCTAGCACTTGGGAAGAAGCAAGAGTTCAGCCCTTTAAAGAGTTTGAGACCAGCTATGGCTACACAGTGAATTCAATGCCAGATGGAACTACTTGGGGGAGACCCTGTTTCAAAACAAACAAACAAACAAACAAAAAAACAAAACAAACAAAAAAGGCCAAGAACTAGTGATCTGGTTCAAAGGCAGAATACTTGCCTTACATGGGGAAGACCTCCCAAAAACTGCAAGAAAAAAATTACCAAATTCATTTTAAATGATTAGAGTGTCAAAAAAATAATACATATTCTTAAAAACACAGCATAGTTAGTCTAACAGATAAAAATGAAAAAACTAATTCTCACAAACTGGCCTCAGAAATCTGTAGAACTCTTATCTTTTAGGCTTTTAGTGAGTGAAATGACTGACATTATATATCCTACCGCATGCATACAAGCACAAGGCAAAAAACCCAACAAATGAAAAATTAAGTAAAAATACATCCATTTAAACAAACCCATTTCTAATAGGTCTTTTTTCCTTGGTACCAATTCAAAGTTGTCATGTGGGAAATACTCAACTAGCTGTTCCTGGTGACAGCAACTTCTGTGTCTCCTGCTATGAACCTGATATCCATGCTTAGTAACTTACTTCTACTCTCCAAAGAATATACATAATGCCACTGGCTTAGCTGCTCAGAAAGGGTCTTTAATGAGTCACAATCATAACATTCTCTAGTTTTAGATCATACATAACCATACCATCAGTCACAATGATGCACATATTCCAGACTAAGCCATCAGGGCTTCTGGAAATAGATCAAGAAATTACCTGCTAAGGAACTCTATGTGAACTATTCTCTGCTTTCTGGCCCTTAGGGTTTTCTCCTTTCCCACAGTGACTTCAAACACTCCCCAAGCTTGTTAGTGTAGGCTATTGCTCTAACAGTCTCTTAACCCAACCTCCACTGGTGTCAGTGTTTGCTGATATGTACAATAGTAAATACTTTGGATGTTTAAAAGTTGGGGTTTTTATAACTTACTCACCTCAATGAAAGCAGTGACTCAGAAATGAGTGAAGAATGAGCTCTAGAGTGGAATTAGAACAAAGCCATCACATTTAAGTCTCAAGTGAGTGACTAATTAATTGAAGAGAAAATTTGTCTCCCTGGCTAGAAGAACTTGTGATGAATGTTTCCTTATTCCTGAGATGTGTATATGTGTGTGTGTGTGAAATGGGGACATGCATATGTTTGTGTATGTCCATGTGTGCAGAGGGCCAGTGGCTGACATCAGCTATCTTCCTTAATGTCTACATTTTTTTTTTTTTCAGACAGGTGACAGAAAATCTCTGGAAGCAGAGCTTACCAATGCTACAAGACTGGATGGCTATGAAGCCTCAGCGATCTACCCATCCCTGCCCCCAACAGCTGAAATTACAGGGAGTAGCTAGCGTACCTAGTTTATTATAATGTGAATGTGGGGTCTGAACTTTTACACCTGAGTGGCCAGGACTCTACCTACTGAGCCATTTTCCCAGCATGAGATTTTTAGAATACTGATAAAAACAGAAGACTGCATATGTGTTTTTCTTACACCTTTTTGCCAGTGACTAATTCATTATCTTAATTGATTCACCAAGTACTGAATACACCCTTTGTTTTATGTACTGTACTTGCTTAGTGTTTTGTAATTGGTTTAGAAAATTGGTAATACATATCCTGGAGTTATTCTTAACCATGACACTTCCTTGGAATTATTCAATGATCATTTTACAAACCTCAATTTGCATAAAAATCCTTTTACTCAATTTTGGAGATATCTCATGTTTGAAACAAAAACAGATTTAAACTGGGCATGGTGAATATATGCCCAGAAGTCTGAAGGCTGTGGCAAAAGTTCTTGAGTTCCTGCCAACATATGATATATATACAGAAAGACGATCTTAAAAAACCCAAATACCAAAAACTTCACCATCAGTATTCAGGAGAAAGTAAGTAATACCAGCAATAAAAAATGATTATTTAAAAACAAAAAAAATTTACTAGCAATGAATGTGTCCCAAGATTTAAGATGTCCAAATTTATAGATCCAGTAAATTGAAACTGGACCCAGATAGAAAAATACACCACCTAAAATAATCTTCTCTAGAATTCACAACATTAAAAGCTACCAGACAGTGATAAATCCAGAGATAATGCAGAGAACTTTTTATTTTACTCATGTATAAGTTGAAGATTTTATGACAAATAAAACAAACATGACTCAGAGCTCTTTTCTCTACAATAAAAACTTCAGTCAACATTATAATCCCCACACAATATATTCGTATTACCTACCTAAATAGTTTTGGAGGCAAGATACTAAATCGTGTTTTATCCAAAATTTTCCTGATTTTGTTTCTTCCACCTGAAACGGTATTTGCTTTAATTTTCTTATTTCCTTTCTCCTGTGGTGCCTGCTCAATATCCCCTGGAACATCTTGAATTGAATGGCGATTACTTTTTTTTTCAGCAATTTTGGGAATATGAGGAACACCCAATTTCTCTTGTTCAGTCCTACTGAGCAATTCTTTGAACACTGTGGAAATAAACAAACTCATCATTTTCTTTCTCCTCGTTAAAAAGTTTTATACCAATACATTTTAAGGATAGAAATCATCATCACTTTCTCAGGCTAATACTCATTTTAAAATCATCTGCTAGATCCCTAAAGTGATAGGATGAAGTCACTGGTAAAAACTGAGATGAAACAGGCTGGCAGCATGTGTGAAAAGTGTGTACTACACAAGAGACTACCTGTCTCATCCAGCTCTACCATGACTGAGCTGCAGCCTAGCCCAGGGGTTGTTTTTCTTTGTTCTTTTCCTTCCTTCACTTCTCTTTCCTCTCTTACTTTCTTTTGCTGTTGTGACACAGGGTTTTGCTTCACAGCCTGGGCTTCAACTCTCAGTTATCTCCCTGCCTCAGCCTCCCAAGTGCTGGGACTACATGCTACTCCACTGGGCTTGTTAAAAAAATTACCTGTACAGACTTATGGAGATCAGGATGTTATGCTATGCATTCATGTAACATTCATTATCATATCCCGAACCACTGTTCGTCCATGATTGCACACTCTCTCATCCCTTTCTTAGTCTCTAATAATCTTTAGCCTGATTTCTGGTCAACACTCCTTTTGCTGCCACAGAAGAGAGAACATGCCATACTGGACTAGTTTAGTGTAACATCTTCCAGCTCTATCCACTTTGGCCAAGTGTTAGGATTTGACCTCTGTTGTGGCTTAATACTTCTCAATATTACATACCATTCTTTTACCTATCAATGGGTCTCAGTCTGATTTCTAATTTTAGTGATTTGTGAGAGTAGCAATAAACAACATGCAGGTATTTCTTAGATTTCTGATATCATTTCTTGTGACTCTCCACTAAGGAGGTAGACACCACCCTCATGCACAAGTACTATTTAGCCATATGAGGAACTTGTCTTCTCCACAGTAGTCATGCTCAGTTACAAAGAGTGCCTTTCCCACACATCCTTATCAACATCTGGTATACTTTTTCTTCTTTGTTTAAAGTCACTTAAGACAGAAGATGACTGTGGTCTAGATTTGTAGTTTTCTGGTGGTTAATAATACTGAGTACTTTCTTAAATATTTGCTGAATATTAAATTTCTTAAATGTTAAATATTAATACTTTCTTAAATATTGTCTGCTTTTTCTTTTGGCAAGGGTCTGTTTAGATAATTTGCTCATTAAAAAAATATAAGATTACTTTTTCATTCTTTTTAAAAAAGATTTATTTATTTATTTTATGTATATAAGTACAATTAGAGATTTCTTCAGACACACCAGAAGAGGGTGTCAGATCCCATTACAGATGGTTGTGAATTACCATGTGGTTGCTAGGAATTGAACTCAGGACCTCTGGAAGAGCAGTCAGTGCTCTTAACCACTGAGCCATCTCTCAAGTCCGATTCTTTTTTAAAAACCAAAACAACAACAACAACAACAACAACAACAACAACAAAGACAGCATTTCATTATAGAACTCAGCCAGGCCTTGAACTTTCAATCCTGTTCTAGCATCCAAGTACTTTTCTTTCCTCCTTTCTTATTTTTTGGAGATAGGGTCTTAGGTAGCTCAGGCTAGCCTTGAAGTCCTAATTCCCCTATCTCCATCATACCAGCTTTTTTTTTTTTTAAAAAAAGATTTATTTATTTATGTATGTGAGTACACTGTCATTGTCTTCAGACACACCAGAAGAGAGTATCAGATCCCATTACAGATGGTTGTGAGCCATCACATGGTTGCTGGGAATTGAACTCAGGACCTCTGGAATAGTAGTCAGTGCTCCTAAACCTCTGAGCCACTTCTCCAGCCCTCATACCAGCTTTTTGAGATCTTTATATAATCTGGATATTAAGTTTCTGTCAGAAGAACTGACAAATATTTTTTTCCCATCTTGTAGGGTCTTCAGCAAGACAAGAAAGACGACACTGCCATGATGAAAGCATATGAAAATGGCATTAAAAATGAGATTTTTACTTCTGTGTACATATGAGTGTCTGAGGTGTGAACAAATGCCTGAGTTCAGAAGAGGGCATCAGATTCCTTGAACCTGTAGCTGCAAATGGGTGTTATCTGATGTGGGTGATGGAAACAGAACTCAGGTCCTCTGGAAGAATACCAAGTGCTTTTAACCACTGGGCCATCTCTTCAGCACCAAGAGAGACATTTTAGTTTCCCCTAAAACCCCAAGCACTCCATTTCCTTCTGAAAGGCATATTACTAGGATTCTGTCATTCTGATTGCAATCTAATCAGCCTTAAGGGATTTCCTTCCCTATCTTGTAAAAACTCCCAAGTGGTCTTTGGTTTTTAGTTGCTATTCTGGATTTATGGCTATCATTCTCATGATTTTAGCCAAAATTCAATAGAGTCTAAAGCAAATTAGAATAAATCATAAAAATGTCTAAAGCAAATGACACCAAATCTTAAAAATTGCAAGAACAAATGAATGGTACATTTGGTGAAAAGCACAAGCTTAACACCTGTTTTATTCTAATATAAATATGAAAAAATACAGATGTAGCTCAGCTATAGGGCACTCGGGCACCACGTGTAAAGCACTGGGCCCGCCCCTTATACCACAGAATTATAGAACACAGCGTAGCTACCATAAGGGTACCAGAAAGGAAGGACATGCTGTTTAGAAATCTCACTTATATATTTCAATGTTTCATTCAACTTATTTGATGAACCAACTAATCTGGCATTTGATTCACTGTAGAAAGCTAGGTTTGTAGGTCAGGAGTAGAAAAAAGACTGCTTATGATGGACAAGCTTTATTAAAGTCATCTAGGTTTTATTATTGTGCTCTGTACTGTACACAACAGGAACTCAAGAGATACTTTACACAGGACTGAAGCTGTATCTCCATTTCCTTAGGTTTAGGATTACTACTATTTCCATAAAATTTTGACTATATAAAAATTATAGATTACAAAATCCTAATAATCTTCACAAAAAGTTAATATTTTACTATCATCAACCTCATTAAAATGACTTTTAGCTTTTCTATTACACAAAATAATACAAAACCTTACCTCAGCAGCTTTTACAACAAAACTTACCAAAAATGTTGGTCTTCACAGTAAGTGCAAGATGAGTATTATTCCTCAAAATTTCAAGTGCTTTAGCAAATGTAATATTCTCAAAGTTTTGTCCATTGACTTCCATTATCTTGAAAATATTTTAAAAATACAAATTAAGACAAAAGTAATATTAGTCAAATTTATAATCTTAAAAGCTTAAAGAGTAGAAAAACTAAAATAGAATTTAAATAAATCACACCATATGTGAACAATGATTAGAAACTGGACTATCGTTCTTTCCCCTGTACTGCTTAATTTTCAAATCTTACATTATATGTATTTTAAAAGGTCACTTTCTTTGGAATCCTAAAGAATATGGCCCAGTAGTCAAGTGCAAGAACTGCTCTTACAGAGAATGCAGGTTCAGTTTCCATGCCCATGGTGCCTCACAATCATTCCTAACTTCAATTCTAGATGATGCAATACTTTGTTCTGACCTCTGCTGGCTCCAGGCAAGCACAGGATGCATAGATATTCAAGCAAAGCACACATACACACAAAATAAAGAGGGGGAGGGAGAAAATAAAACAGGGACTGGAGAGATGGCTGAGTGGGTAAAGGTGCTTGCCACCAGCTTGAATTTGATCCCCAGGACCCATATGGTAAAAAGAAAGAATTGACTTCTCAGATATCCGCACATATATCATAACTCGTATGTGTGACTAAGAATACACACATATACTAAACATAATAACATATATATGATAATTTGTAAGTGAAGAAAAATTCTAATCATGTCTAGTTCACAAGATGAAAACACTACTTACGTTTATACAGATTTTAGTCAAATAGTCTAAAGGGAAATTTAGTGCATTCCAAGGTATTAATTTAAAAGCAGCATACTTATACTGAATGTAACAGTGCATGCCTATCAACCCAATACTAAGGCAGGAGGGTTTAAAGTACAGAGCAACATAGTCAAGCTCTGTCTTAGGGGGAGAAAACCAAATCAGGATTCTAAGTATTTCCTTTTTCTTTTTTTGTTTTTTAAATTTATAAAAGAACCAGGCAGCCAGTCCAAAGCAGCACTACTGTGATGTTTTTTCTTCAGGTGAGAAAACTGCTTTTTCACTGAAGGGATTCCTTAATTTGGTTATATCCCATTACCACACAAAATGTTTACTGGATGTAGGTGGGGTGGGGCATGTGCTCAGCATTCAGGAGGCAGAGGAGCTCTGTGCATTAAAGGGCAGCCTGCAGCCTGGTCTACTACATATTAATTTCAAAGATACAGTGAGACCCTGCCTGGAAACCAATACCAAAAAGGATAACAACAATAAACCAGTAAGCTATCACCTAATTCCTCCCATATCTCAGTTTTTCTGGGTTTTTCATCTATTTCACTCTGCTTATAAATGCAGCTGTGGTACTATATGGACACTAGTTAATTTGATGCTATCACTTAATCTTCAGCCACTTACATTGAAAGCACTGTCAAGCATCTATCCCATCACACTTGTAAAGGGTGCTAATTCATGAACATCTTTCTAGAACATTCTGAAGTTGCCAAGGATAAATTTCATAATCCTTTGGAAACAGGGAGGGCCATTCAAAAGTTATATAGACTGAGCCTTGTAGAATACATGGTTTTCAACCATACTATTATAAAATTTCCTATCAAAAGTAATGAATATATGATAAATATTTTGAAAATAAATCCTATTTAGATATTAACACTAGGGCTGGGGAGATAGCTTGGTTGGAAAAGGGAGGACCTGACTTCCTGATGCTGGGAAGGTAGAGACAGGTGGATTCCTGGAGCCAATTTGGTAAGTTCCAGGCCACTGAAGCAGTCAAGGAAAGAAAAAGGTAGGCAGCTCCTAAGAAAAACACTTGGGGCTGGAGAGATGGCTCAGCGGTTAAGAGCACTGACTGTTCTTCCAAAGGTCCTGAGTTCAATTCTCAGCAACCACATGGTGGCTTACAACCATCTGTAATGGGATCCGATGCCCTCTTCTGGTGTGCACGAAGACAGCTACTCGTCATATATATAAAATAAATAAAATCTTAAAAAAAAAAACCCAAAACACTCAAAGTTGTCTCTGATATTAACACACACACTCTCATGGTCTCAAAACTACCCTCCCCCAAAAGAAGCAAAAGTAACAGATGTATTATTTATCAGAGTTCTTATTTAAGAGTGGATTATACACTTACCTGATCACCCCGCTTCAGTCCTACGTCAGCAGCTTTGCTACAAGGCTCTACTTCTTCAACAAAGACACCAAATCCCTTCTCACTGCCTCCAGTAAGGCTGAAGTGCAGCGGGGACTCACGGGATGCCTTCTGCAGTACAACTTGCCTCCACTTAGCCTTTGCGGCACAGGCAATATTCAATAATCTGAGGTGACCATTCATTTTCTGTGAAGCAGAAAAGACTAAAGTGTACATATATGTACCTATTCTTACCGGGTTTAAAATATTCTACAATGGTTAGGATTAGAACCAAAAAAACACAAACTACAGAACTTATGAGCAAGGTAAACAAGACGGAAGAGGGTACTTCCACCCTAGAGTACTCAATAAAATTTCTCAATAGGGTTTTAAAAGACATCATAATAATGAAAAAGGTTATCCAGAATCTTCTGAATTTAGTGTATTATGTGTATTACCTTGTATGTCTCCTGACTGTTATACAAAACAGGATCTTCTAAAATTCTATTTTAAAAATGGAATAACTTCCTATTGCTCGATATTCAGACATGTCCAAGTTTCTACCTCTTCAAAAAATATTTAACTCTTTTTTAAACTCAGTAATAGTCTAGAAGTTCTATCTCTAGTTTAATATTTAGTGATTCTCAAACAGGTAATATAATAATGTGTTTCTGAACATGATATGGCTCTAATAAAAAGCTATACAATTTTTTTCTTCCAGGGCAGTGATCAAATTCTACACTTGTACATAGTATCTTTTGAGTGGAAGATTGCAATGAATGGGGGTGGGGGCAACCCATGACTCAACCTCGATTTCCAATGTCTTTTAAATAGCTACACATTGGCATTCTAAGAGCTAAATGATGTTAGCGTGTCCATCAGTCAAGTTCCCCAATCTCTTTTCATGCTTCCTCATTCTGCACAGAGCAGATATGCTTCAGGAAAGTCTACAGGAACTAAGGGTAAAAAGGGACCAGAGTGCCACTTTGTTCCTCCTGGGCTCAACTCAACCCACTTGCTAAGCATTTTCTCTGTGCCAGTCTGTTTTCAGGTTTACCTCACTAGAGTCATCACAATCTCCCCAGATTGGAGATTACCATTTTCTACTGAGATCTAAGCTTATGTAACCTGTCCAAGTGCACATTCGAACAAGAGGCTAGTTCCAAAACAAAAATGAGCATAAAAAGAACATGTTTTTTTACTTTGGTGAGAAACTCTTATCCTACAACAGATATGGGAGAAGATAGAACTTGTTCTGAGTTGCTGCTCTTGCTGAGGGAGTAGGGAGAACACTGAATTATGAAAACAATAAATTCTTTTGAGCCTTACTGTATCTTCCAAATTTTTTTCAAATTCTTCTAGAAATTGAGCCATAGCAGGATCACCTTCAAAATCATTAAAATGATTATTTACCCATAAGAGTACAATCCGGGTCACCTGTGGAAACAGGAGAAAGCATGTGGTTATGTGGTACTCTTCTGTCTGTCTGGCTACTCTTGAGCTTCCTTTGTTCTAACATAGAGGCAGGGGCTAGAAGAAAGGGCTCAGTGTGTAAAGTGTTTTCTGTGCAAGCATGGGATGTGAATTCAGATCCTTAGCACATGCCTGTAAGTCCAGTCCTTAGAGATGGAGATAGGATATTCCAGGGAGCTCCCAGCTGGTGGTTCCTAGTCCAACTTGAGACCTTGTCTCAAAAATATAATGCAGGGAGCAAGAGGATGTTCATGTGGTACATGGACCTGCATACACACAGATAACCCACTCCCAACACAAAACTAACAAATGTAGGTGGATTTGAATACTGTGCCTAATAAAGTCAGCAATGATTCATACTCTGAAATTTGTGACAGAATTATCTACAATGTCACCATTTTAAGCAGTCTAAAGCACACACTTTGGTAGCATTTAGTACATCCAACAATGTTACACACCCATTATACAAAGTTCTAGAACATTATCACAGCTGTTCTCAACGTGGGTCATGGCCCCTTTGGCAACTCTCTTATCTCCAAAAACATTTACATTATGATTTTGAAGTGCAGCATAATTCAGTTAAGGATAAGCAACAGAAATGATTTTATGGTTAGGGTCACAGCATGAGGAACTGTAGTAAAGGGTCCCAGTATTAGGATGGCTGAGAACCACTGCTTTATTACCTCCAAAGAAGAATATACACTCATTAATTAGTGTGTTCTCATTCTGCATCCTTGTGCCCCTGAAAGTTACTGTGAATCTGCTTTTCTGTCTCTGTGGATTTTTCCTACTTTAGATATTTCATATATACACTCACATAACATATAGCCATTTATGACTTTTTTCATTTAGCACTTCAATTTCATGCATATTTTTTTACTGCCATATATGATTCATTTATCCCTGATGATTTTGGGTTGTTCCCACCTTCTAACTATGAATATTTGTGTCTTAGTTTTTGCTTGCAAATCTGTTTCCTTTCTGTACATATCTAGCAGAAGAATTTTTGGGTTACATGCCTGCTGTGTTCAGCCTTTTAGAGAGCTGCTAAATTGTTTTTCACAGTACAACATTTTATATTACCGTCTTCAATACTGTGTTATGTGTCCATTCCTTATATCTCAAAGAGTGTTCACTTTCTCCTATTAAAAAAGCTATCTTAGTGGGTGAAAAGTAGTTCACTTTGGTTCTGAGTGCACTTTCATATGTGCAATGACAGTAAACATCTCCATATGTTTGCAGACCATTTATGAATCTTCTGTAGACAGGTCATTTGTTCATTTTTCAGTCTTGTTGCTTGTCTTTCTGTCCTTCAGTTTTAAGAGTTTTTTATTCTGGTTAGTAGATCCTTATCACATTTGTAAATCTGTATGGTGTTTTATGCAATTTTTCGCCTTTTCCATTTTCTTATATGTGTGTGGGGTATACATGTGCAAGTCTGAAGTTGATGTTGGGAATCATCTTCTATCACTTCCTTATTCACTGAGTCAGGGTATCTCAATCAAACCCAGAGCCTGCTGACATGACTAGTCTTGCAAGCTAGCTTGAACTGGGAAAGTCCCATCTCTACCTTTTGAGGCTTGGATTACAGATTGGTTGCAATGCTTACCTGGAATCTGCATGGGTTCTGGGGATCCAGACTCCCACCCTCATCCTTGCCCAGCAAAGTGTTTTAATCTCTGAGCCATCTCCCTATCCTGTATTTCTTGATAGAGCTTTTTGATACAGAAAAAAGATTTTAATATTGGAAGTTCTGCTTATCTGTCTTTTATCTTTTTGCTTGTGCTTTTGGTGTTATATATGGAAAACTAAAGTCAATTAGTCTAAAGGCATTACTGTTTTGGTTCTTAAAAATGTTTTCAACTATTACTACTGTAGAGGTTCTTGACGTGTGTGGGGTACATGTGCCATGATCTGGATTAAAGTGAGAGGACAACTTTGTGAAGCTGGTTTTCCCTTTTCACGTGTACATGTGTACTGGAGTTTGAACTCAGGTCTTCAAGTTGTTAGAATTGTACAGCAAGTGTCTTTACCTACTGAGTCATACTGCTGGTCTCAAACCTATAACACTGGTCTTACATCAGTTTGGTGGTGAACTGTAGGCATGTGTGTGTCCTCATACAGCTACTTATGCTGGTTCCCATGTTTAGGTCTCTGATTGATCTCTTTTGAACGAATTTTTGGATATGGTGTATAAAAGGGTCCAAATTTATGCTTTTACATAAATATATCTATTTCTAAATAATGCTTTGGTTCTTTTCCTAAATACCCCTTAATTTTCTCCAGGGCTAAAGTACTTCTGTCTAATTCTAAAACATGGGTGGTAGTGAGGGGGAAGTAAGGGCTGTAGTTTTGGAAAGTCTAGTCTCCTAAATAATAGAATTTACAGTTTTCTCATATATGATTTATTATTTCTAACATGTAATTCAGGAAGACACACCATGAAATTATGACCCTGCTTTTACTTTCTAAAAACAATTTTTTTTCCAACCAATATGATGAGGCGTCTTTCCAATGAACGTATAGTGTCCCATAAAATAAGCTAAAATCATCAATCAAAAATAGTAAACAATGCTCAGTGCAAAAAATAACCGAATGACACATTTCCCATAACATAGATTACGGAAAAGAAACTAAGTGCTGACAAACTTTTCAGATGATTATAGAGTCTCTAACTCAGAAAAGTTTGGATGGTCTTATCCTGAGACTTACAAACAACCCATCTTCTTGAAAAGTTCATTTGTGGAGTATTACTTAAAACTCACTAACCAGCTACATGTTTAATCTATCTGCACAAACTACTACTATGTTTTCTGAATTTACAACGAGCTATATCACCATCTTACCTCAGTTTCTGATTTCTGTAGCTTGTATCTGCTTTTCTCAAGGTTATTTTGTTAGAAAATGATCAAACACACGTCTACACTGGACTTACTAAATTACTCAGGTAAACTTATTTTTTTCTATAAAAACCCAACAAAACCCCCACTTTATCTATTAAGTGCAAAAGTATCTATTAATAAAATATAAAGGTCAAAGTTGTTTTTTATATTTATAAACCAACCTTATCTCTTAAGCTGTCAATTTTAAACCATTCTAAAAGCTTGATCCCAACATCCAAAGGAGTTCCAAGAAATGTCCTATAAGTTAACAGGAAATCTTCTATATATGTTGGGTCCACAATAGAATGTTCTTCTATCAAATGCATGATGAGACGCTCAGGTGTTGCCTAAAAACCCAAGGAAAGAAAACACTAAGAAAAAACAAAACTCAAGGTGTCACATTATCTCCCACTATTCTCCTTATGTAGCCTTTAGATTGTAATTTAGTAGCAACCAGAGGCTTACAGTTGAGATATGGTAGAGGGGTCAGCATCTGTTCAGCTCTGTTTCTTTCTACTGGCATTTCACTATCACAGGACCTAAGAAATGTACTGACTTATTCCTTGTATGGGCTGTTACTATTACTTCTGCTACAGTACAGCATGTAATGACTGTCCAAGGCAAAGGAAACAAACAGAAATCAATCAATCAATCAATCAATCAATCAAGCAAGCAAGCAAGCGAGCGAGCGAACAAGCGAGCAAACAAGCTTTCTTCCACTTTTAATCCAAATCAATTCTTCTATCCCAGGCTACAGGAATAAAACACACACACACACACACACACACACACACACACCGTATTGAGTTTCTGAACCAATGTTAAAAATTTATTAGACTTTGCAGATCTTCTAATTAATTAATTTTTTGGTGTGTGTGTCATATGGAGGTCAGAAGACAACCTCTTGTTCTTAAAGAACTTTCTTTTATTTTTTGAGACAGAGTCTCATGGGCCTGGGAGCCTTACAAGCACCAGCCATCATGCCTGGCTCTTTGGAGGGTTGGCAGGGTGAGGTTTAGGCCAGAGAATTACACCAGTGTCTTCCTCAAATGCTCTCTACCATAGACACACACACACACACACACACACACATTTATTTATTTTGAGAAAAAAAATTTTGTTGGGGCTCACCAACTGGCTAGAAAGAGCCAGGGACCTTTGTTTCTGTCTCCTCAATGTAAGAATTACAGTTGCTTGTCACCACACTAGTCTTTTTAAAGAAACCTAAAATAAGAGTCTTGTGCTTGCACAGCAAACACTTTACCAACTGACCTATCTCTCCAACCTCCCAAGTTTTGAGAATTAAACTTAGGTCCTCATGTTTGCAAGGTAAGCACTTTACCAACTACACTGCCTTTGCAAGCCTGCTCTGCTACCCTTTCAGAACATACATAAAAAGAAAACAAATATTCAGTTGAATATAAAAAGCAACTGAGGGGCCTGCAGAGATGATGCAGTGATGAAGAGCACTTGGGCACAACCAACTCTAACTCCAATTCCAGGTGATCTCTTTACTGACCTCTATAGATATGGCAACACATACATGGTGCACAGACATACACACAAGCAAAACTCTAATATACATAAAATTTAAAAATCTAATTATGGCCCTTAAGTTCAAACTCCAATCTGCTGCAACCATACAAATAATTAATCCCAACATCTATATAGTAAACAAACATTAACACTGACCATGCTGTTATCTCAGAGTTTTTATTCCCCAATGGCACCCAATGCATACAAATCACGTTCCCTGAAGGTACTCAGGAGTAAGAAAGATGTCATATAACTAACTTACAGCATAGAGACTGTAAGTTATTCTTCTTTGTTTCTTACTCTCAAAAATATTAAGTCTAAGATTATCAAATTGGATTTTTATTCAGGCCAATCATGGTTTAGGAAACTTATATGTGGTCTTAGGGTATACACAGTGAGTGAGTGTGGTAACTGGTTGACTTTAAAGGAAGGACACTATCCTGTTTATCTAAACTGGTAGATAAGAGTTCCTACAGAGTCTGGATTATAAATTCAAAAATTTGAAGAAGGTGCCATTATCATGCAAAAGTATGTCTCCAATGTCTACCCTAGCAACTAAGAAAGTTTGACACTTGGAGAAAGAATCACACTCTGGATATTCTTCACCTGGAGAAAGGCAAAAGACACGGTTGGCACTGTTATTCTGGCATGGTAGAGACTAGTTAAAACTAGCAAATAAGCATGAGAAGAATTAATAAATATGGAAGTAAAACATTAGAAAGAAAGCTTGTAGGATAGTTTTAGACCTGTTAAATATCACATAACCCATGGTTGTAGAATGCAGACAGAGAGTTGTAGACGTACACTGAGAGTGAAGATAAATACCTGTTTTTCTAGCTCTGACTCGTGAGGGGTTGTAAATATACAATACAATAAATTTCCAGATCCTGGCTTATAAATGCTATTCTCTACTGGAAAGATCAAGAACTTTCTGGAGAAATGGCTGATTTCAGAGTAGGAACAAAAAAAGTTCATGATAATCCTTATTGATTGTCAGAAAACTAGAAAATGCTCAAAGAATGACGAGGGCATTTCAAAATAATACAAGAGTCAACCTGTAGAGCATTGGAACAATACTGATGGCAAGGGAGTATGACACTAAGTCCATACCAAACACAAACTAAAAAATGACAATCAGTTTTTACAAGAAAAATTATAGCATCAGTAAAACAGTGTTTTCAGCAGGAATTGTCAACAATAATAAAAACAGGTAGAAAGACATTTGCACCGAGTTGTTACTATCCACAAACTGGAGGCAGTGTGTCATTTCAGAACATCTCTTCATCAGATACTCATTAATTATGAAATGTCACAAATGGTGACCTCACAGAAAAAAAAAAACCCTTGCATATGGACACAGGTCATCAAATGTTAGGTTCCCTAGAGGAAAGTGTCAACACTGCACCAAACACACAAAGCAGAGTGTTAATCATAGTGAAATTCCTTTATGGAAAACCTGAGTGTAGTTTGGCCATGGGTATACGTGACAGGATTTAAGACATGGATTCTTTAAGTTTGCTGGGGATATGGATAACAAAGAGGACTAAGCACTCTAGTGGAGCAAAGTGACATGACAATGAAATACAACAATGTTCTTAGATGACAATACAGACAAGAAAGAAATTACTGGAAGCACTGGTGAGAATTTACTAGGGACTTTTAAGTTGACTGTATTATCTTAACAATGTGTCCTTCAATAATTGGAGAATTCTTTGGTGTTTATGTAGGAGTACTCTTGCTTTAGGAGTGGTGAGACATTGTATTTGTAAAATATCTCAATTCAAAAGAAGACTGATGAAAAAGGGGCAAATGCAACACAATATTAAAAGTAGGGGAAACTTACAGAGTTGTCTGTATTGTTCTTGAAACTTTTCTTCTTGTTCATGTGTACAAGGGTATGTGTGGGCCAAAGGTCTTCCTCAAATATTATCCACCATGTTTTAAGACAGGGTCTCACACCAAACCCAGAGCACACAAATTCAGCTACGCTGCTTGGTCACCAAGATAGTGGGATCCTCTCATCTCTACTCCCCCACTGCTTCAATTACAGGTGCACACCAATGTGCCCAGATTTCTGACTTGAGTTATGACAGACTCAGGTCCCTATACTTGCATTTGTCTAACAAGCCCTAACAAACTAAACTGAGCCATCTCCCTACTCTAGTTCTTAAACTTTTCTGTAAGTTTTAAATTATTAAAATATAGGGATCTTTGTCAAAGACAAAATAATGATATATTAGCCTATATATTCTATTTAATGTTGTCTGCCTACCTTCCTTCCTTCCTTCCTTCCTTCCTTCCTTCCTTCCTTCCTTCCTTCCTTCCTATCTTTGGAAAAAGTTTCATATAGCTGAATATGGCCTTGAACTTACTTTACATATAGCTGAAGCTAGTCTTGGATGCAGTAGCCTCTTGTGCAACTACCATACCCAGCCATACTCACCTTTCCTGCACACACACAAGTTATATTAAGAGAATTCAATTCCCAAGAAAGAACTGATATGGCATCATTTGAATTTCTTCTCTATGCTATTAAGTTGTCCATTTGCCAATTAATAATGACATATTTTGCAAATAAGGCTAGCTTAAAAAGAGAAATGTCTATTTTAGTTTTAATTATTCTTGATTTACTTTATATCTAGGAGTCTTCATAGAGACAAGAACAACAAAGAATATAGGAGATGTAGAGAAGGGAATACAGAGGTTGCTGCTTTGAGTATAATTATACTAAACCTCCAGATTTTCCTCATTCAGTCATAATTTTACTTCCTGTATCTCTTCCATTTTCAATTAAAATAAAGGTTCAGAGAAGCCACGGTTGATTTCAAGCTAACAAGAGCTCTGCATCTTCATTGTGGACTCTATGTGTCTTTGTGGCTAGTCTTTAAATTTCCTGTTCCTGTCTCTCCACTAAAATTGCTTGCTTTCTTTTTGTAAGACCAACACCCACTATCAAGGGTTTATACATTTAAGAAGAAACGATTTGACTAGTATAATCTAAAATAATATTGTATCAATTTGGATATTAAATGGCAATAATTATCTTTTATCATTCAGGTGTATAAGAACAAATTAAACATCAATAAACTAACACATAAAGTTGTCTAAAGCCCATTTTTAAAGCAAGATGAAAGATCTCAATGAAGTTTCTAGAACAAGAAGTAAAACACCCACCTTGATTACAATGTGTCCTTTCCTGGTTCCGCTTCGGTCTAGTTCACGGTGCTCATGTACCATGACAATTTCTCCCTCTTCCTCAACTTTATGGGTATTTTTTTCCACATGATTTAAAATTCTCCAATAGTCCTGTTGAGCTATGCAGACAAACTGTCCAAGAACAACATGGGGACAGTTAATGAACCTATAGTACATAAACACATCACTATGCACCAAGGCAGAGCACAATGGCAAGAAATCAAGTGGCATCAGCTCTTTCTCATTTAATTTGTTTAGCCCTAAATAAAAATCAGGGTAAACAATTCACACAGAGAGAAACCAAAGTGGAATCTTCTGAATTCTGCTCTAAAAGGAGAAGTGAACATCCACTTCTCTCAAATAGACACTATGCAAAGAAATCATGAAGCAGGAGTAAGTCAGAAACAAACAACTCACAAGTTCCTATTTCCTTCCTTTTTTGAAAACAGAAAGAGCCTGAACTGGATAGTAAGAGTTTGAATGTTCAAACAAATCAACATTTATTTGAAACATTCTCTTAAAAATTTATACTTTGCTCAACTCAACAAAATTTGAGAGAGATATAAAATTTACTTTCTCTTGTAAACTGGAGGCTATCGAAAATCATAATTCTCTGAAACATTCTCTTAAAAATTTATACTTTGCTCAACTCAACAAAATTTGAGAGAGATATAAAATTTACTTTCTCTTGTAAACTGGAGGCTATCGAAAATCATAATTCTCAACTAATGCTGTTTTATTTTGAGCAAGAAAGAGAAAAGCAGCTCTGCCATTTCCAGTCTCAGAGAACATGGAGCAGAGCAGGCTTACCTGGCAATCATCGACTTTGGTTCTGACAACTCCACGCATGTACTGCTTATCCAGAGTGGGAACAATTCCAAAACTATTTCCCATGAAGAGATTTTCAATTTTCCCATCTGGATGACTAATTTCTACAGTGCCATTTAAAATGACATACCATGAGTCAAGCTACAGACGAAAATAAAGGAGTTAGAATATTTTTTTTAAAAGACAGTTATAAGTTAACTTTGAGCAACAATTTAACAAAATATGTAAAATGCCTCACTTAAAGGAGAAAAAGGAGACCTGGCTCTATTAATTATTCAACAATATCCTATGCCTTGTCAACACAAAACTACTGGTTTCTTTCACTTTTTTCTTTTAGTCACCAAAAGAATTTCATAATTGGTCAACTTCTCTGAGACAAAATACTGTACTGTTAAAAAGAACAATTCTTATTTTAAAGATAATTTATTTTATGTGCATGAGTTTATGTATATGCATACTATGTGTGCCCTAGGTCTCCAGATAAGGGCTTCATACTCCTTAAAACTGGACTTACAGACAATTGTGAGGTGTCCCCTATCTCCTTTAAGAAGACCAAGGGCTCTAAACTGCTAAGTCATCTATTAGGAGCACAAATTCGTAAAATCCATACCCTGCACAGTGTCTTCCACCAAGTTATATAATCTCCCCCAAGCCTCAGTTTATTGCTAAACAATTGTTTTTTGTTTTTAAAATTTACTCCTAAAGTAGATGGCCAATTTAATAAAGATCAAACGCTTACCTTACTTAGAACAGTACACAGCATATAATCATTCTAATGATAAAAACTAGCAAAAGCCTGAATTTAATGCACAGCTAACAGATTATATATTTTATATATTTATATATTACAAATTTGCAATAATATTAAAAACAATTCTTCATGTATATGAAATCACTTAACATGAGGGAGATACATTTTTTTTTGTTTGTTTGTTTGTTTGGTTGTTCGAGACAGGGTTTCTCTGTATAGCCCTGGCTGTCCTGGAACTCACTCTGTAGACCAGGCTGGCCTCGAACTCAGAAATCTGCCTGTCTCTGCCTCCCAAGTACTGGGATTAAAGGCATGCGCCACCACTGCCCGGCGAGATACATTTTTATTATATTTATTTTTGGTGTGTGTGTGTTGACACATGTGTGCCACAATGTTTGTGTGAAGGCTAGGGAACAAAAAGTGGGAATTGTTTCTCTCCTTCTGCTATGTGGGTATCTTGGATGGAAGAGAGGTCAGGCTTGGTGGCAAGTTCCTTTACCCACAGAACCATATTGCTGGTCTGGGAGATGACATGTAAGCATGTACACATTTTTCTGTGTATGAATGTCTTGCCTGTAAGGATATAAGTGTATCATGTACATGACTGCTAGATCCCCTGAAACTGCCATCTATCCAGTCCAAAGCTGTATTTTTAAAGGTCTTCTGTGTATTAATGAAAGAACATTTATTCTTTAGTAGCCATTCTTCCTCATTAGCCTAAACTTTCAACATTTTTGATGCAATCTGGGTAGTAAGTAGGTAACAAAAAGAGTTTTTAAAAGTCCACTTTCTTGTTACTGATTATAAGAACAGAGTAGGATTTACAAATAGGATTTATAGATTATATAAACTACTGAGAATGGGGCTGTGTCTTTTCCCAACCACCGTATTTCTGTCTACAGAAATACCTAGTAGGAAGCTGACAGACAATACATTTTTTTTTGTTGTTTTTTTTTTTTTTTTTTTTTTAAGACAAGGTTTCTGTAGTCATGGGTATCCTGGAACTTGCTAATGTAGATGAGGCTGGCCTCTACCACATAGAGATCTATTTGCTTGCTTCCCTAGTACTGGGATTAAAGGTGTGCACCTTGCCCAACCAGACAATACATTTCTGCTAATAGAACTATAGAGAGTTAGAGAACATAAAAACTTGTGGAAAAGAAAAGCTTGTTAAAATCCTACTGTCTAAACAGCTTTTATTGGCTGCATTTATATATTATTTTAAGCTGTTGAATATATTTAGATTATTCTGCCAGAGCATATGGGTTTGTATATGGAGGTAGACAAGTGTGTGCATGTGGAGTCCAGAAGTCAACTTTAGGTGCTGTCCACCTTGGTTTATTTTTGCTTATGTATGTGTGGGTGAGGGACACATGTGTGCATATGTGATTATACTCATTTGGAGGCTAGAGGACAACCTTGGCTTTCTTTTTGCAGATACCATATATGTAATTCCTCTAGAAAGGGTTTTGTTGGCCTACGGCTTGCCAAGTAGGCTGGACTGGTTGACCAATGAGGCCCAGGGATCTTGAGGTCTTTATCTACTCGCTGCTAGGTTTACAGGTGCATGCTATCATATCTAGCTTTTGGGGACCAAACTCGGGTCCTCACACTTGGTGGCAAATGCTTTACCAACTTAGCTATCACTCCAATCCCTATCTTGTCTTTAAAGATAAAAAAATAAACTAAACTCATCTGTCTCCTCCAACTTCCTGGGGATGTGTATATTATTTATTAGATGTGCAAAACATGCAAATAAAACTGGAGAAGACATCTGCCCCTGAAAGAATTTTTAGCAATTTAAAAAGAATGTGAGCTTGTGGAGTACAAGGCTCAGTGGGACATCGCTTGTCCAGTATGTTGGCTTTGATTCCCCAGCAACACAAAGAATGACTAAGAATACTCTATTCTTTTATCCCATGGTTATGTATTTATTTGGTTAGCTATTGCTTGTTTTTAAACTACAGTTTGGTATACTCAGTTCTTTCTATTACAAATATGTAATGAGCATCTTTTGATATAAGTTTATTCTAAGGAGAGACACTAGTAAGTAGAACAGATTAGAGACTGTGAATACAGAGAATTTCTAAATGAAATTTCAGAAATGTTAAAAAAAAAATTGGTAATACACTTCCCAGCAATCTTACAGTAGTGTTCCCAGTCCCACTACAGCAGTGGTTCCCAACTTGTAGGTTGCGACCCTTTTATAGGAGTTGTCCAAGACCATCTGAAAACACTGATACTTGCATTAAAATTGTACCAGTAGCAAAGTTACAGTTACGAAGTAGTAATGAGATAATTTGATGGTTGGGGGTCACCACAACATGAGGAACTGTATTAAAGGGTCACAGCATTAGGAAGATTGAGAAGCAGCACACTACAGCATTGTCACATCTTCTAGGAGGCAGGCATCAGCATCAATACACCACCCCTCCTCCTTTCAATTCATTGACAATGAACAGGAAAACTAAGTTTTACATAAGTGTGTGTGTGTGTGTATACACACATCAACAACAATGAAGAATTCTTTAAAGAAGTCTTTAAAGAATCTTACTAATTTTAGTATTAAAAATGGTTCAATTATTGATTGAATACCTAGTTTGCATAAAGTCCATGCTAGGAAAACAACAATTTAAAGAGAGTAAAGCAACAACAACAACAACAAAACTTATCTCTTCAAAAATTAATTACACCAACTTAATATTCACTCAAAATAATTTAAACTAACACTTTGCTGTTAATTTGCTGACCTACCTCTTGCCCATCTTCAAGAATAACAGCCCCAGCCTGCTCTACTACTTCAAAAATCATGACAGAGCAGAGCTCTCTCCTTACAGACATGGTCATATTTGCAAAGGCAGGCAGCTGGTGCATGAACTCAAGTAACTGTTCTATAAGAAAACAGAAATTCTAGTATAAAGATTCATGATGCTACTTTAACATACAACAGATTTTGTAATTCAATATTCAACTTGCTAATCAACTTAGGATCTGATACCCATAGCTGACCTCCACAGCACTGTACACACATGATGCACAGCCATATATGCAGGCAAAATACCTATCATATAAAAATAATTTTTTTCTCACCCCAACCCCAAAAATAATTTTTTAAAGCCCAGTTAATTTAGTAGGTTATATGTGTACACATACACATTTATAAACTGTACATATATTTACCCTCACCTATACAGGCATATTGAAAGACATCATTCAAAACGCTCAGAGAACCAGGAAACCACAAAGGTTCAAACAAAGCTGGAGGATCTATCTAATGTGCCTAGCTGGAGATGTGACCTGATTAGTGGTACAGTTTCGTGTTGTACTTTGATCTAATGGATTTGCAAAAAACCTTATATCTATTACTTTTAGGCTAGATATTTCTTTTTCTTAATTCTACTGGTAATGTCAGTCAGTAAATTAGAGATAACTAAAGTATAGCTCAAGATTTGTTAAATCAAGTAGTTAACTAGTTTTAATAAAAATGTACTATTTTTACTAAATGTTTATGGGTTTCTGAGGCTATTTTCTGATTTAAAACACATTAAGTAATAAAGATAAAAATAAGGGAAACATATACACACGCATCCGCCATAAGATAAACGAACTTCAATAGAAATGGCCACACAAAGAAGGCATACACTCATAGGTAACTGGAATTCATGGAATGTATAGTGTCTGTGTGGATGTTTATAGCACGAGTGTAAACAGTGGTTATTTAACAATATTCTATCTTTATAATGGCAGATAATGTCTAAATATACTGACCATTGCTAATAAAAGTTATAATTTTCACTAATGTTGACTTCTAATATGAAGAGCAATATGATAAAAAAAATCCAAGATAAAATCTTAAATGAACAGTAGCAATATGTAATTGACACTAAAGTAAACTTAGTTCCTTAAGGACACATCATCATCTTTAGACACAATTAAAATATATTAACTAACTGTAAGAAGAAATACACAAAAAGCTTTATAGTTTTAATGAGGGTAACATTAATGAGGATAATTGAAATATATTTGAAATTGATTTAAAAATTACTTCATAGATTTGAGATACTAGTGAGCTTTAAATGTCTTATGAACATGAAGATAAAAATCAGTACAATGAAATCAACATTTTTATTTTATAAACACTCACAGCAAGTTTCAACAATGGCTCTCAATGATCTGACATCTTGATACCAATGTCTAGGTATAGTCTTCTACAAATACTCTCTCAGGTTTGCATGGTGTAATGGTTATGGCACTAAGAATAACAGTCACAAAAGACACTGGAGCATCTCTTTGCCTTACTCACCCACACTAGAGATCTAGTACCATGTTATTAGGGTGAATAAGCAGGCTACAAAGACTACATAACATGGAACTGAGGTCTTGTGCAACAAGTCTCCTGAGTAGTCAGTCATCTTGGACCTAAGATTTCAACACACTCCAGTGAAGACTCAGGTGACTGGAGTCTGCATGTAAATTCTGATTAAGATTCTAAGTTTATATTACCTAGCTAAGTTGTTCCTAAATTCCTGATCAACAAAGACTATGCAATAATAAATGTAAGCTGATTTTAAGAAGTTATGTTTTGGTACAATACGTTATGTGGCAACAGATTATTTTGTATATAAGGTTAAAAATGTTTATGTGAACAGAATTCTTTCCCTCCCT